CATATATATATGTTTTTTATTTTAATTTCAATCACTTAAGTCTAGATCCCTTACTTCACTCACACCACACCTGATTTTTGTAGCCTCCACTTTTGTAGTTGACGAATTTGAAAATTCTTATCACTTTTCATTTGTATGTGTGTGCCTATTTCATATTCTCCACACATGCATCACTTTTCGTTTGCTCTTTCCTTCCTTTGCCATACCACATATTCCATATGCGTTTGCGGACCAATTGTTAATTCGTGAACTAAAGTTACTTTGGTAAATTTGAAAATTCTAAATCTTAAATATTAAATTTCAAAACACAAAACTCAATTTTTAGTTTAACTGCTCAAAATGAATTCTCTCTTATACACTAATTCCTCTCTCTTATACACTAATCCATTTATATATATTTTTTTCTTGCTTAAAAATGTGCCTTCTTTATAATTTCATAAATTTGTTAGCATAACTACGCTAAAGACTATATAGTAAGTGAATCTTAAAAACATCTAGAATTCTACAAAGAATTAAAATTCAATTTTGCTTTCTTAGCTCTTCGTGAGTTTTCAACAATTGTCAACTTTGGGTTGAGTGTGCCTTTTTATTTTACAGTGCTATCCCTGTGCGAAATTCTGTACTTATGCAAAGCATGTATTGTTTATTTTACAGCGTGCCATACAATACCGCCTGCCTTACATTTGCATTACCAAAAGTAGTTATATAAGTAAGCAAAAGTAAAAAAAAAAAAATAGCTTCAATGCTTCTGGCTTCTGAGCCATGTGTGTAAACTTTCTCACTCTCGTACATTCGTACTCTCATAATTTATGCAAATTTTCAATATTATTTTGGATTTAATGACAAGTAATGCAATGCTATAATTAAGCCACTTGCTTATCTTAACCTTTGCGCTCATAAATTTAATTGCAATTTTTAATTGTGTTCCTACTGGGTATATACTATATAGAGATTGTGAAGTTAAGAAAATTGTATTTTCGAATTATTTCAATAATAATAGCTGCATAAGCCCACACTGCGAGTCTTGCATACTTTTAGGCGTATTAAATTAAATATACTGCTAAATAATTTTTAACACATATAATTTCCTTTTTCTTTAATTCATGCCATTTTTTTCAATATTTGAACCAATTCATTTTACTTAAGCCCAAAAAAACGTTTAACCAACTAATTTTGATATTAATTTGAACACAAATCGTTACATAACAATTAGAGGTACTTAAACTTCAAGAGCAAGAAGTCCAGTTCAAAAAAAATAATAATAATTATATAATATTAAAAAAAAGGAATTTAATGATCGAAAACAACAACATTAAACTTGTTGTAATGTAGAAACATCAATTAAAGTCAATTAAAAGAAAATCTTGCTATGGTAATCGAAATTAGTGGAATATACATATGTAAAGACGGGTATTTTACCGTTATATTTACAAAAGGTCGGGGAAAAACTAATTTTAATGACAGTTAGCGTAAGTAATGTCAAAATTTAAGTTGTAGTTGTAACTCAAATACAAATGGATAGTTAGATAGTAAATATGATATATATAACAGTAGTTTTTCGACTTTTTTTTTAGTACTACAGTAGTGTCTTATTGTAATTGAACTGGACTTACTTTATATTTTTGTACTGCAAATTCCAAATCACAAATGAGCTGCTAAAAATTTAAAACTTAGCAATTACAAAACTACTTTTTTTCGACTAACTAATAAAAAAAATTGTTTAGAGTAAAAAAAGAGGGACCTTCAAAAGGGTCAAGTGTGTAAAAACGCCTACTAAATGCGGAAAATTGAGTATGTAATTAAGCGTGTATACAGTAGAGGCTGTAATGTCAAAATCATTTGAAAATATTTTCTAAAACTACGTTTTTTATAAAAGTTGGTGATTCCATAGCGTTGGAAACCACTTTTTTGTTCAACAATAAAGAGAAACTAAAGTGTTTAAACGACCAAATCCATAAGAGAGTAAATGCAAAGCGTAACTAAAAGTCAATAAAACAGTAAAAGCATAGACCATAAATTAAAGCACTGAAAGTAATAAAACTCAATAGAATCTAAGTTGTTTTGATGTTTCATATTTTAAAAGTATTTTTTCATCGCATTAAATTACTAAAATTAAATTTCTATATATAGCGTATGTACACGTGTTTATGCGTGTGTATCGGCATGTTAAATTATATATGTATGTATGTACATATTATAATAAGGAAAAATATATTTGTTATTATACATTTTGCTTTTACTATACACTTTTCTTTGTTTTTTTATAATATCAAACCCGTTATAAATTTCTGTCGTTTGGCTGTTTGGTTGCTTGATTGATTATTTTGTTATTCTTATACCCATTTAACTAATTTTTTTCCAGTTGCTGTTGCTTTGTAGATAATTAAAATAAAAACTTCATACAATTTATTTAGGTTACAAAAAGCAGCTTTACATTTTCATTGATCTTTTTTCTGCAAAGTATTAATTTTGTTAAAAATTATATATTGTTTACAAGAAATTTTATATTATATTTTGTATGTTTACTGCTGGATTACTTTGCGCTAAACATATTTTTATTTATGAAATTTATTTTAGAATGTAAAAATGCTTATTTTTTATTGTATTACTCATGAAATTAGTACATTGAAAATATAATAAAAATAATAAATCAAAATGATTAAAGAATGTAAAAAGTCCTTTAAATGGTTCAGTAAACAAATATAAAATAAACCAAAAAATAAATATATATAAAAAACACACAATTGTAAAACATAAAAACATTCAAAAACGTTAATTGATAAAATATAAAACTAAAATAAAAATCTAATTACTTTGAATATTAAATTTAAAAAAATAAACATCTTAAATTTATAAAGCAAAAATAAAAATAAAATAAAATATCTAATTACTTTAAAGTTACGCATTTACTTTAAATATTTAATAAAAATAATACAATCTTTAATTTTTGAAATAAAACAAATTAAAAGCAATACAATTTTTAAAACAAAAGAATTATTTAAAGCAAATAAATAAAAATAAATAAAAGATAATAATTATTGAAATTAAACAAAAAATAAAAATGACGATTAATATTAAATAAAAAATAATAATAACTATATTAAATTTATAAAATAATAAAAATAATTGAAAGCTATAAACTTGTTAACACCAAATATTAAAAGAAAAAATAGTAACTTAAAACAGTGCGAAGTATGAAATGCGTTTCATATTTAGAAACACAATTTTAATTGATTTTACTGATGAAATATATATAAAAAATTCAAAACTCTCTTTTTCCGATATGTTTATTTCTCTTCGTCAAAATTTATTTGCAAATAAAATCCAATAAAAAAGAATTGGACACAAAAGAAAAAAAATGCATATTAAAAAAATAAATACATTTCACCAATATCGAAAAGTAGCTTCTGTATATAATTTTATGTATATATATTTTTTTTTCCAAAATTAACTAACCCACAACAGCAACATGGTTTATAAAATGTGGAGCTGAACAGTGACTCTGACGAATAAATTTCAAATCTATGCATAACTCTAAACAGGTGTTTTGCAGCACCGATTTCCATAATAGTTTGGAAATTTGCTCACAAGTGTTTCAATTCAGCGCCAACAATTAATAATAAAAACAAATAAATTAGGTGCTTGGTTTACTTTTTTGTAATATTTTGATATATTCGTTAATATTTTTTTTTCTTGTTGTACAACTTGTTTTAGCAATGAATTTAGATATATATAAATATTTCTCAAAATTTGCTTATTTTTAGTGTCAATATTTCAGTTTTCTTTATTTATTGTTTTTGTATGTACCGTATTAATATATATTTGTTTTTCGCCTTCGTATAATTAATTTTATTTATTTTTTGTTTGCCGCTAAATGCTTCATATAATTTAATTCATATTTAATTCAAAATAATTGGCGTTATCATCAAAATTTGTATGGTTTTTAATTAAAATTATATTTACAGAACATAAACACATGTCTGTATTTGCATATCATGAACTTATATGCATATGTGTGCTTATGTAAAATATCTGCATAAATCTGACAACTTTTAAATAACATTAAATTAAGCATAAAGCTGCTAAAGTAAGCATGCAAATAAAAGTTAGAAATAATATTTAATTAAAATTAACCATAATTTTTAATTCATTATGTAAGCATATATGTATGTATAAAGAAAATAAAAATAAAATTAATTAGCATAATTAGAATTATATCACCCTGTATATGTTGAATTTCATAAAACTTATAGTAATTATAGCATTTGTATATTATTTATACAAGTATTATATATGTACATATGTATGCGTGTTTGTATACGTGCATTTATAATTAACTGTTGTAGAAGCAGCTTAGTTTATACGTTAAACTAAAGCAACCAAATACCCATAATTCTATAATGCAAACAATTACATATGCATATTCAACGGTAAATGGTTGATTTGCATTTTTAAATATTTTTGAAAATTTATAAATTAAAAATTTTTTTTTTGTAATAAATATGCATATTTAGTGTATAATGCAAGTTTTTATTAAATCATGAAGGTAGTATTGTTATAAGATATTTTTAAAATTAATATATATGTATATATAAATATTTATAAAAAGCAAACTCTCTTAGCAAGCCTTATTTGGCTTTGCATCGTGCGTTCGTGTGCAAGTTTCGCTTAGTTCAGCCACTCCTTGTGTGTGCAATAAAAATTAAGGTACATGTAGATGCTTTTTTTTTCAAAAAAAGAAATTAAGCAACATAAAGTTCGAAAAACAACTATTACTGTATATGTAAGTATACATGTAAAGCTGACATGAGTGCTAAAATACATGGGAAAACTTTAGTATATACCGTAGTAGATACCGGCAGCTATATTTATTTATATTTTTAAACTGGAGCATCTCCGCTATCCAACCATACCCCTTTTAACCCTGAAATCGTGAGATGGTATACTAAAGCCGACCCAAATACATAATTTGAAAACAAACATAAATAAACGCTTCGTAATTATGCATTTTGCACATTATTTCACTATAGTTATTATTATTTTTTCATATTAAAAGAGTTTTTACATTACTTTCGGCATTTCTGCAGTTTTTCACACATGGCGTGTATTGTCAAACAAAAAACTTAAACGCAAAACAAAGCAGCCAAACAAAACTTAAAGATTTTCCATCAAATAATTCATTATAATTCTTAATAATATGTGTGTTTTTGTTTTTCATTTATAAAATATAACGATAATTAGAAAAAACGCTTAATATATAACATGCTATATATGTCTGTACGCATATGTGTAATTATGTATGTAAAAATATTATTTTAACAACTAAGTTCACTGCATTTAGAGGAGCAGATGCTTGCGAAAGCATTCACGGCGCCGCTCTACAATTATTTTCATTTTAGGCGCCTAAGAGTGCACCAACACATAAGTGTATGTATATATATATATGTATGTGTGTATTTGTTTTAATCAAATTTCTCACACTTTTCTTATCACTAGCTTGAATTCATTTTTTCGTTTCATTTTTATATGCCTAAGTCACTAAATTGTTATGTTGAAAATAGTAGTATATTTCTATATACATACATGTACGTATGTACGTTATGTTTGTATGTATAGGTATGTGTGTTTAAAATTTCTGCATTCATTTGCATGTAAAAGCAAAACATAAAAAAATCTTAAAGCCTAGGTAATTTTATACATATGTATATAACTATGTATATCGATAGTTTGTAAGCCAACATTTATATATGCTACTATGTATATATATATATAAATATGTATGTATGTGTGGCTCATATTTACTTAAATATCGCTCCAGACAACAACAGCAACCGCTTATATTGGTTTACACCCGCTCATTAACCATTACTTTTCACCGCATAACATTAGCACTTAAAAGCTAGATTATATATATATACAAGTATATATATATGTAAATATGTATGTTTTTAAATATATGTGGCCTCTTTCGTTTACATTTAACAGCTTTATGTTTACATAAAATCAAGCTTCCTGCGTATTCTTTGATATCAGTTATGCTCTTACAGCTGATAATTTTTCTTTGAAACACAATTTTTCAGCAATCCTCGTAAATTGTTTATTCCTTTCTGCAGTCAGCATTCACACTCCTTGTATTTTTGTTTGTGAGCAACTTTTAACCTTTTATTCCTCGGTTACAGTTGTCATTAAAATATGCTTGCTTTCGTTTTTACTCACTTCACCCTTCACATCTCTTTTCATTTTCACTTTTGAGCCTCCAATATTTATCCTTAATAGCTATTCACATCTTTGATTTCTCACTTCTCTTCGGCCACGCTTCTATGAGTGCCTTAAATCCTCGAGACCACCGTTTGGTACACCACTTTTCACATTCTCCAACACTTTGTTCACAAAATCAGTGGTATCGCCAGCTATACGCAGACCAGCTGGAAGAGTGAAAGACAATCATTTAGTAAAAAAGAAATACAAGTTTTCAATGGGTTAGGGTGGCAACGTTCCTAAAATTAGTGAGTTATGAAGCTAATTATTCCAAATTAATTGTTGAAATTAATACAATATATAGATTAGGTTTTCAACATATTCGTATACGAATTTATAACTGTAATAGCGCAGAAAGACATTAGATTATTCCGTTCCGACGACAGTCGAGTCTAAGTTACCGGAACGGACCCGGATTTTTATCCGGCCAAGAACTCAACTCGGCACCATTCCTCGAAATTACTTTAGGAATATTTTTTGACAACAACAACAACATTGGACTATATAAAAAGAATCTAGCTCCTGGAATATTTAGAAATTTGAGGCTTGTCACCCTTAACCAGAAACTAAAAAGATGTTTTGAAAGCCTTTAAAAGTGTATTTCTTAAACAGTAGATCAAAAATCCGCAAACTCCCAAATTCCTAAAAATTATTTCCAAATAACCGTACTCACTTTGTGCCGTTTTGTAGATCTGTTCGATGCGCTGATCGATCACCTCGGTGTGCTCGCCGTTGTTTTGATTTTGATATTTGAGCGCCAAAGCTTGTTTGAGTTCAAAAATGCCATTAATTAAACGTTCTGTAAACGAATAATATTCGAGAGCGATTAGTGTGAATTTAGAGCTCGACGCGTTTGTCGAATACTTACTGTGTTCAATTTCCAGTCCAAAAAGTTTGATTTTATTCGCCTCGTGCTGAGCCTTCTTTTTTAGCCGGCATGCGCGTGAGGCCAACTTATTTTTCTCTTTGCGCGATTTCGGGCGCACATTGAAGGGCAACTCGGATACGGGCGTCATGTCGTTGATGGTGCGACCCAACTTGTCTAACTCCTTGCCGATGACATGCAATTTTCGTGGATTTGGCGTAAGATCATTGCCATCACCCTTGCGCGCCTTGCCGCTGTGCTGCAAATATGTAAGCAAACTGCTGTTAGTTTGTGAAAAAATGTTAGAGAACTACAGTTAAGAGCAGCCTGCACTAGAACTACTGCTGTGGTTCGATGACGCAATTGGTTGTATTTACTTTGAACACCTTGATACCACGCACAGAACAATTAGGGCTGAATACCGGATCGGTGGCCTCGTTCAAGACGTGCGGATCCTCCAGACGTGACTGGAACACAAGCCGTTTACCCTTGGGCCCCTTCGCTTGTACATTGTACTGCCAGAAGTAGCGTTCCTTGCATTTGCTGCCTGACATGTGGCCGGAAATGGTGGTGCGCGAGTCATCCTCATTATCAGAACCTGAGGTAGAAGCGTAAATAAAAGTTAAAAAAAATAATCGAAATTTCATGCGCACACCAAACATACCATCACTGGACAGATCATCATAATTATCGCTGTTGTAGTCTGTCGACGCATCGTCATCATCGTCCTGCGAGAAATCAATGCCATCCGGCGACAATACGCTGCCGGTGCTAAGAGACGAGAACGATTCAGCCTCGGCCAGCGAGCCAGTGGACAGCAAATGCTGTCGTGGTTCACGTCGCATCCAAATGTGTTCGAGTCCGAGATGTGTGGGTGCCGATGAGGACAGGCGCGATATGGATGTATCACAAGGATACTGGAACGATTTGCGCACCGAACCACCAGTGCTGCTGCCACCGCCGGTGGCGCTACCGAAGCCGCTACTACTGCCACCGCTACTTGGGCTAAGCGCATTACCGGAGAGCAGCACGTGACTATTGCCCGGCACCGATTGACCCAATAAACCGGCGCTGCCATTAGCACGATCGGGAGACATGGAGAATCCCTTCTTTTGCAATTCCAACATGTTGCGCGACTTCACCTGCAAGCTTTGTGTGCGATTGCCATGCGGCGGTGGTGGTGGCGTTATGGAATTCAGCTGAAGTGGCGAATGCGAGGCCTGTAGATGCAAAGTAACAAAAAATTATTGTAATTTCATACGGACATTGTAATTTTAAATCGACCGATGGTCCAACTTTTTTAAATTTTCACTCACCTGACTGCCCGGAGAGAATGAGTTCGAGCCCGAACTGCTTAATTGATGTGTTTGTTGCTTATTTGGTGTGCTATGGTAGATTTCGTATGGACTAGACGAGTTATGGTGATTATGGTGTGTGTGTATGGCACCGCCAGCGCTGTTGCTGTGCTGTAAACGTGGCTGTTGCTGCGACTGTTGCTGTTGATGTTGTTGTTGCTGAGCCGTTTGCAGTTGTGTCAATTGTTGTTGTTGCTGCTGTTGTTGTTGTTGTTGGTGCTGTTGTTGTTGTTGCTTATGCATCTCCAACAATTCCATTGGTGGTCCACCACCTGGCGAGGCCTGTGGACTATTTAACTGTTGTAAATTGCTTGAGCTATTATTTTGTTGAGGCGATAGAATGAATTCATTCTGTCCAGCACCGCTATTCAAAAGCTCATCAAAATTATCGATCACATCGAGGAAATGATCATCCGATATTTCACCGAAACCGGCAGCCTGTATCTCAGTCTTATCTATGGGAAAAATGTAGTCTTCCTCCAGCGTGAAGGGTTCATGTTTGGTGATGATGGCATTGCTGATGTCACTCCACATGGCGCTCGAGTTAGGCGTGCCGGTGACATCGAAGAGCAGCGAATTGTTGCCATCGTCGCCGGAGCGTATGCTATCATTCAGTCCCAACAACGTGCTGGCCGAGTCCACGGTACCAACGCTGCCGACTATGCTATTGCTGCCGCTGTTGCTGACTGGCGAGGCATCAGCCGCATAGAAGCCGTTGGACGTGATGCCATGTAGTGGCGAAGCAGCGCCCAAACTGACATCTTGCAGCAGTGTTGGCGACAACGAGGAAGCGTCCAGCGAGGCGACATCCAAACCGTAATCGGAGAAGTCGACAAAAAGACGTGGCTGTGAGTGTTGCAACGATTGTTGTTGCAGTTGGTGTTGTTGTTGGAGCTGTTGCTGTTGTTGGTTATTTTGTTGCTGTGCAGACATCATGGAAGCTATTTGGTTGTGATTATGGCTATTAAGATGATGGGGATGATGCTGCAAAGGACTTGGGCTGGGATGATGATGCGAATCTCGTTCTTGCGTCCAAGGAGTATGACTCTGATTTGGGTTATTACTGCGCGGTATGCTTATAGCGTTGGTCAGCATCACATTACTGCTACCGCCGATGCTGCCACCACCAGCACTACTACCAATGCTGTTGCCGACACTGGTGAATGTGTGCTGTTGCTGCTGCTGCTGTTGTTGTTGGTCGTTTGGTGTGTTGGCGTTCGAATTCAAATTCGAAAGGTAATTGGAATTGGGGCTGGAGTTGGAATTTGTATTGAAAACGGTATTCACATTCAGCTGCTGCAATGGGCTAAGTGCGGGCAGCGTCGATGTGCCGAAGAGTAGACTGGATGTGTTGCTGTTGCTTAGCGCCAACGAGAAGATATCACACTTTAGTGGATTGCTGCTGTTGGACGAGGTGTCGAATAGATCGGTCGACATGGAAAATATTTGATTCTCGGTCATTTTACGACAAGTGCTGACAAGTTTGCGGCAGCCGGTGCATAGATTGCGGTCACGAGGACGCTGCTTTGCTGCTGCTCTTGTTGTTGTAGTTTTGTTGTTGTTGGTGCGCCAATTTAAAGCGACACACGCTGGTAATCAGCTAATAAACGATATGTGAGCCTTTGTTTTCGGCTGTGGTTGGGTGTTAATTATTGGCGTTGGCGCCGACGCCGCGGCCTGTGGTGCCTAATAAGCGGCTAGCAGTGCAAGTTGATCTAAAAATATAAAAAATATAGTCGTTATGCTATTTTTAGTTGGTATTAAAGAACAAGGTTAATATATATCAATAAATTATTGTTATGTTTATTATTATTATTTATAAAACTAGTAATTGACAGCTGTCAATATAAAAAATATATTAAAAGAATTTCAATAACAATTAAAACACAGTTTTAAAAAACAATAAAATAAAATAATATCAACATATTATATACATATATTAAAAAAAATTAATGAATAAAATTATTGGTAAAAAAATTTTATCAAGAAAACATTAATAAAAAAAATAAAACTGTTAAAAGTATTTAAACTTAAATAAACTAATTTAAAATGCAATATAACCAAAAAAAATTATATATATATACAAACTGACAATATAAGGAGTTTAAAGGCAATAAAACTGACAGCTGTCAAATACTAATTTTTTAAGCTAATATAATACAAACACGCAGAGTCAACTAACGCATTAATTGTTCCAGCTAATTGACGTAATTCAAATGTTATAAGATTATCTGTATTAAATACAACTCTGTGTGTGTTGTCCAATAAGAGTGATATAATTAAAATAACAAAAATACCCTAATTGTTGGAACCAGATGTTGTCAAGATCAACTTCTTTCCATTGAGGCCATAAAAAGTTGGTTATCATCGATCTATACCGATCTCTATTGCCAGTAACGGTGTCACCAACTTCATTTCGAAAAAAGTACGGACCCATGATTCCACCAGACCAAAAACAACACCAAATTGTCAATTTAGGTGAATGTAATGGTTGTTCATGAATAATTTGTGGATTCGCATCAGAATCGACAGTTTTGTTTATTTACTACACCACTCACCATAACCATAACGACCATAAAATGGCAAAAGCGCACAAAAAGTTTTAATTGAAGAACGATTATTTTGATAATAAAATTGAAGAATTTGTAAACGTTGCTCTTGCATATATCTTTCCATGATGAAATTGTTAACATTTCTGAATACAATGACAAAAAATTATAGATCATGACATATTAAAAATGGCCGATAAATAATAAAAGATTGTCTACTGCCATGGATTATTTTAAAAACTCATTAAGAATATTGTAAACTGTTTGACCTTCTCATTTTTGCACAGTTATGCTAGAAATTAAAATGTCACTAATAAGTTGCTAGTGCAGACAGGGCGTGGTAACTCACCACGCAGAGATCATGTTCATTAAGCAAGCAAATCGCAAGCGTAACTAAATTAACCGCCATTCAATTATTTTAATGTGTACAACTTCTATATACAGTTATAGTTGGCAATAGAAAGCAACAACAACATGTGATGTAATATATCATATAGTACACAAAAGTTTATAGTGACAGTGGGACAAAATGATAGAACAGGTAATAATCTAGTATATTTATCGACGTTTGGTGGTTTTTATTGCACCAGTAGGGATAGATGACTGATCAAATGCGTTACAACGTCTTTAGACGTCTGCTGACTCAAATTTAGTAGAGATATTGAGACTTGGCTTGATCACAAAATATATTCGATTTATTTATCGAAATATTGGCTTATTATTATCTATATACGTTTTCATTTCGACTATTTACTATTATATAATATCAATATACTACGTTATTTTTGTGTAAAGCTTTCAAAATCCTGTTGTTAAAACTTCCATAGTTTTATATAAAACTTGTGTTGTACATACTTGTATCCAATTTTATCGATTTTTTTGTATTATCCATTTAGATACAAATTTTAATTTATATTCCTTATTTAAATTTCAGGAATAATCCTTGCTGTCATCACTCAGTGAACTTCCACATTAAAGTGATTAAAATCTCTTTTGAAAATTATGTTAACCTTATTTTTCTCCTAGCTTTCGTAAGAAATTTGTAAAGAACGCACAACCAAAAAATTGTTGATCTTGTGTAATAATAAATAATTTGAATATAACGACTTATTTTGCTCGATAATTATAAAAAATATCGATATTTATATAATAAAATATAAAAATTAATTGTCTTATGTGTTCCTCATTGTATTTTTCTCAACAAATATCTTAAATAACGATATTTATGTAATATTTAATCGATACTTATCGATACAAATGTTCTTATGCTTATGAGTTTCTTAGTACAGTTATTGCCATGATAAAAATATCAATATTTATCGATAAAAATGTACTTTTCTTATCTGTTAGTATATTATCATCAAAAATTTGTCTTACAAACTTCGTAACAATAATTTATGGTATATGACAACCATGAGCGTGACATTCCATTTAAAAACCATAATCTAGATATAATGTCTATTCTATTATGGGTGTTTTAGCGAACGTTTGAAAATATTTGTACACATAGAAATAATAAATACACGCCGCAGCAAAGGGTGATAATCCATAAAACAAAGAGAAAACATCCGAGTACAGAACAGTCTGTCCGGTTTTTTTACTGCTTCATATTATTTTTCTATTAATTTGTCATTAATAAAAGCGCCATAAAAGTGTGCAACATAGAGGTTCTTATCTTTTGTGTATGTGTGTATGTATGGACATATATGTGCATACCGCACACACTTATATCCTATAATTGCGTTGTGTAAGCGCCAAGAAATTTGTAAACAAATTAAAACTACAATCGAGAAACGTGGCGGCAAACTATGTGTAGGTGAACGTGTATGTATGTTTGTATGTTTGCATTTCTGTTGACAAACAGTTACTTAAATAGATACATTGTTTTACCAACTAGACTGTCATTAGCATATTTGCTAATTTTATCTAGCTTGTTGGAAAACATGCTCAGGACGATTGAAAATGTCGATGAGAGAGTGAATTGGCAGGGGAGAGTGTGCTAAAAATAACAACGAAAAACAAAATAAATGTAAATGTAACTGAAGTTGGTGCGCAAACACTTCAGATGCCACATGCCGATACAGTGAGGCATTGCATTAATATATTTACGTATGTAAATACAGACAGCTGAGAGTAAAAAAAAAATATATAAAAAAATAAGAAAAGCCAACACGTGCCATTATAGCGAGAAACACAATTACATTCGCATGGGGATCTAATTATAAGCATATTTATAATGCCGTTCAGTAATGTTATCAATGCAATGAAAAGGCGCGCGTTTCAGCTAAAACAATAATAATACGAGTATACCTGTGATTGCTGTATACCTTACAGCATTCATAACATTATTTTAGAATTTTAGTTTACAATTTAATTATATTATTTGGGAAAATTTAGTATACATTTGATAGAAATTAGATGAGAAAAAAAATTTAAAAAATTAAATAAAAGCAAATATATAAAAAAAATTTAAAAAAAATTATAAAAACTTAAATTAAAAATAAAAATTAAATTTTAAAAAATATGAAAAAATTAAATTTTAAAAAATATAAAACAATTCAATTACAAAAATATAAAAAAAAAAATTATAAAAAAAATCATTAATAAAAATATTTGAAAAAATCCAAATAAATTATAAAAAATCTAAAAACACGAACAATTTCGTTTAAAATATAAATTGAAATTAAAAATTATAAACAATAAAATGTCGTATAACGAGATAAAAAAAAATATATATGTATAATATAAAAAATAGTATAGAAAATGAAAATAAAACTATTAAAAACAAGAAAAAACCTTAACTTCAGCTGCACCGAAGCTTAAATATCCTTCACAGGTGCATTTCTTATAGCATACATACATTTAAAATGTAACCGGCCAAAGGTTTGCATCCATTTAACGGAAAATGTTTTGGTAGTTTTTTCTAGCCGTTACATAATAAGGAAAATCAAGAAAAAACGTTAACTAAGGTTGCACCGAAGCTATGTATAATACCCCGCACAAATACAAAAGATTCCTTACAAGAATTTTGATCGGTCACTTTGCATGACAACTATATGCTATAGTAACGCGATCTGAACAATTTTTCGATCGTTCAGTTTGTATGGTAGCTATATGCTATAGTGATCCGATCTGAACCATTTCTTCGGATATGGCACTATTGACTTAAGAAACAATCGATGCAAAATTTATTGAAGATAACTCGTGAACTGAAAAAGGTGTCCATACAACTTGATTTTGATTGCACAGATGAACAGTTTCTTGGAGAAAATAGGATGCGTTCAAAATTTCAGATCGATATCTCAAAACATACAGACGGACATGGCTAAATTGACACAGTTTGTCACGCTGATATATATACATATATGAATATATATTTGTATAGATACATATGTGCATAAATATATACACGTATATATATGTGTGTATATATACTTTATATGTCTCCGAAGTTTCCTTTTTCTCGTTTAGGGAATAAATATAAATAAAAATGATAGTAAGCGTAAAGAAAAAAATCTTAAAAAAAAAAATTTGACAAATCAAACCAAATTATTATTTTTTGTTAAATCATTTTAATATATACCATATGTGCATATTTATTTTGTTAATATTTTTTCATGAAGTTTCTTTAAGCTAAACATATGTAGCAATATTTAAACATTTTTTTAAACAATTGAATTATGTCGAAAAAAAAATTCCTCATTTTACTGTGTCTGCTGTTGCTCTTAGCTGTTGCTTTTATTGTTCATATAAATAACAAACGTCTAAGTGGCGCTGGCACTCTCTGCCCCCAAAATGCACTTCCAGCTGCACAGTTTTGCAATTCATTGTCAGGGCTGTGCACTAGCAAATATAAATTCATTTAATACATATAATTATACATGGATATGTGTATACAAGTGTAAGTAACCACCATGAAAATAAATAAATAAAAAATAAAATGAAAAATACATTATTGCTTGTTCATCATACGCCCCGTTGTATCGCGGCACTTTTATTGCCGTCTGCGGGTATCGATGTCAATGGGAGTGAACATGCACTAGTGTATGTAAGTAAGGTGTCTATCGGCATTCATACATGCCCATGTGTGCGTCAGCAAATAGTTTTATATTTGTTGTAATTTTGTTTTTGCTTTGGATCGCCGTCTGCAATGCAGCGAATGCACTTTTTTCGCGCGCGCTCAATTGCAAGCAATTACTTTCGCGATTTGTTTTGTTCAACACGCCCGTTGTTTTTCGCTTCGTTTGCCATTTCTCGCTTGCTGACTGCAGTTTATTGCATTTCGTTTGTTTGCTCATTCTGCAATGTTGATGTTTGCACTTCTTCGCTTTGTTATATTCTGCTTACTCTTGTTTCTGTTTTTCGCATTTTAATTTGTTTACAGAATGTTTTGTTGTTATTATTGTTTCATCAATACAGCGCGTGATTGAAATTTGCATTTTTGCAATTCATGTACACTCAATTTGGATTTGCGATGCGGTGTTTCGAGTTGGAAGCAATGTGGTTTGATTTCGGGATGTAAGTTGTTAAAGTACGACCGTTGTTTTTTACCGCTTCGAATATCAGATTCCTTAATGAATAAAACGCACAGACAATAAGTGGACTGGGCTTGTTATAAATCCAGCTTCGTCCCGGTCATAGTAAATTGAGAAAAATTAATGGGTAAATTGTTGAAAATTCCTCCACTGCCCAATTAGGAGTTTGAATCTGAGAACTTTTTAAATTTACTCAATTTATTGAGCTTGACTCATTTATCTACAATTTGTTGATGTCACTTATTTGCTAACGGCGATTTTCCATACAAAAATAAGTTTAATTAGATATATAGAAGCAAATTTAAGACAAGAAAAGCTTTGCCAAATATAAACGGTATTTTGCAATAACTTTACATTTAAATAAAATATTAATTTTAAAGACAAATAAGGAAAAATTAAATAATAAGTATTCTCAAAATTTTTTATTTAAATATACTTCGAAATAGAGTTCCCAACTAACGAAAAAGGAAAACTGAGAAAAAATTTAAGAAGCTGTGCTAAGCAGAGAGCTAAGAGAAACACGCACGGAGAGACTCTAATTTAAATATATATTGGCCTAGAGTTGCCAACCACTACTCAATTTGTTTGCTATATTATAATATTATAAATATTGAATTAAAAATAATAAGTTTTTATTGTTTTTGAGACTAGAGCAGTAAGTGTATAGATTTTGCATATAAAATTTTTTTCTAATTACTTAATGTTTAATTGAATTAATTTATGGTTTATTATATCATTATATTTTCTAAAGGGTTATTATTATAATTTTGCTGAACCATTACGGGTCAATGCTACATTTGTTATTTATCACATTTGTGAGAGCTAAGAATATATGAGCGAAAAGTGGGTGTGTCAACAGACGAAGTTAATTGCTTACAAACCAACATTTGTACATGTTCTTCATTCTTCAAAAAGCGAGCGAGCAAAACAATATTGATGACGATGGTGCGAAGTGGAAATGGTTGACATTTGAACGTTGTGAATTATCTGCACATTGCGAAACATTTAGATGGAAGAATGTATGTTCTAAGCCATTAATTTATGATTACGAAAACAATAAAAAAAAATCGAAATTATTAAAATATAAGTTCCTAATATATTTGTTTGTATTACAGTGTTATTTCCATCAAGACATTAACCAACAGACGTCAATAAAAATACGAGTCTACATGTTAAGTTATTCATTTAACGGCTTTAGTGTGCGCTGCCCTGTATTCGTGTACCCTTACCAGTCGTTTGCACACTTTCAGACATTGATTTCGCTGCGTCGGCTGTGTCTATGGCGCTCGCACAAATTTGGCACAGTTTCATACAGGTTGACGTCGGCAAGTCAAAAGTCACGCGCAACGCCCTGCCATATAACCAAAGCACATATACATATATAAAGCGAATTCGACATAAACAACATACACTTTCAATCAGATTATTTATGTATGTATTTGTAGGGATATTGATATTGAATTAGTGGCAAAGGGTACTAGTTGCAAATCTCATGAAAAAGAATTCACTTACTTTTCGCTGATATATTTCAAAACATTTTTTTTTAATGATAAGCTACAATTGAGTTTAGCCAATCCGGCAACATTTGTAAATTATGAAATATTCTAATTGAATTCGGTACATATGTATGTAGATAGAAATGTTTTTAGCGGCAGAGTTTTGTTTACTTTTAATGAAAATTGTCAGGAATTGGTTCAAGGCCACGCCTACCTTTCATAAAAAGTTATTTTAGTTTCATAAAAGTTAATTTAGTAAATGCATAAAAAAACATTTGAAATGAAATCATACGAAATAAATTTTTATTTTTTAGCAGTTACGTATGCTCTAAAAAACTTCGAGTTTTGAAAAACAATGTGTATAATACCTACATATCAATTATCCACTGGGTATATTTCATTTGACTTTATTTATTAGTGTTATTTTCGTGTGTATTTGTTTATACTTGCGGTTAGTCGACAGTTTTTTTTTTTCTGAATTTATTATTGTGTCTGAATTTATTTTTTATTTCACAGAGCCTAATCTTCTGACACGTTTGTGTCAAAACAATTCTTGCGTTCTATCCAAATTTTTCCATAGTTACCTGTACATCTTACTAATAAAGTATCTGTATTCTTTATGTTTTTATTAATTCAAAATAATTTGTTTACAATTTTCAAGCCACTCTTCATTGTACGAGGGTTGCCTTCTATATTTCGGGATTAGAGAACAAAAACAAATATTAAAAATTGAAAATTGTTTTTTTTTAAATATTCTTCGTTAAAATCTATTTATTTTTGCATGCCATTGAACAAATTGTCGAAGCACTTTTGCCACTCTGATTGAGGTATCTCCTTCTTGAAAGAGAACTGGCAAACAAATGGTTGTGCACCAATCAGAATTTACTGTTCTGCGTTGTTCTAGTGTTATGATTGCCACTAATGCCTATAGTTGTCTCCATCTTACGATAGGTCACATGACAATCAAGCAATATCAGTTTGTGCACAGCATCAATAGTTTTCGGAACAACTGATTTCGGACGACCATCACACAATTCATCTTAGAGTGATCAACGACATCGGTTGAATTCACCACATTAAGTTCATCGATGCACTGTTGCTGACTTGATCCACGTCGAAAGTTGAAGAAAATAATCGCGATTTAATTCCATTTTTTGACCGATATGAATATTTTAAGTTACTGTAAACAACGCAAATAGCGCTCGTATGTCAAAACGTTCTGAGTATGTACAACATCAAAAATTTAAAGTTGTGAGTTGTGAGTTGATAGATTGCAACACTAGAGTTGCAAAATCCCGAAATATAAAAGACAACCTACGTAAATGCTTTGCCACATCGTTCCGCACCACAACTATACAAATCTCTTTCATTTTCCTACTTCTTTTTCACTTTTGTTTTGCGAATTATTCGCTAGCCTAACTCGAAAAACAGCCACTATGAATCGTTTTACCTGCCTCTGTCTGTCAACCGGTATATATAATTTTTTTTAGAATTATTCTGACGTGTTATATAAGAGTAGCCTAAACGAGATTACGAAATTAGTTGAAACAGCTGTTTTGGAAGTTGCTTAGTAAAAAGCTAACTAATATTTCTTTGGCAGGTGTTGAGATTTTAAGTTTTCTCTAAAAAATAAACCGCAAATTTTAAAAAAAGAATGTTGTATACAAGATATTTAAATTTTTTCGGAAATGACTGGAATATATTCGAAATTTTAATTTGAAAACTGTGCTCATGCACATAAAAAAAAATAGAAGTTATAAATGTACAAATGTTTACGGCAACCAAAACTGTGTCACATTTTCAAAAACCATGTTTTCTTGGCATTTTTCTCAATAAATCAGGATGCCAAATATTTTTAAAACACGTGTATATATATACTTATATATACAGAGGCATAAACATACATACATATGTAGTTAAAAATAAGATGATACAATTTTTAGCGAAAGCATTTCCGAGCAGATTTATAAACAACCTTTTTTCAAAATTACTGAACTACACATTTTTTAGTCTATTTATTTCGAATATTTCTTTCGATTGTCAGCTAAAAATGCGGAAAATTTATGTAAACACTTTAAGTCGTAAAATTCAAAAGGAACATAAATGTGCATACCTAAGTCGTAATTTATGTTGCGTTCATAAAAATATTTATGTACAGGTGTAGGTACACTGCACATGCCAGTATTATGTATATATTATTATTTAAATTATGTTCTCATTGCAGCCGAAGTGGTCAATGAAAATCAAATACAAATGCACTCATTTGGTAGACCCACATACCTACGAACATACCAGTGTACGTACTTAGCTGGTACTTGAAATTTAAAAATATGACCATAACGAAGCTTTACTTAAGGTGTTCTGTACAGACTTCCTGGTGGTTAAATTAAATAAATACTTGACACAGAATATTATGGCTAGCTTTTAGTATGATATTATTTCTAGTTTTATGTTTTAGTTAAGTGAGAAAAATAAAATTCTCGGTGTACGTTTCCTACATAACTTTCTAAAATACTTAAAAAATACGTATTAGTGCCAGTTTCTAGCTGTAATTTCTTCAGTAATTTTGTGAGAGAAACGATCTTCGGATAGTTCAATTTTATTTGGTATTTTGATTTTACATATGCATATTTTTAAATGCAGACAACAACAATGCCGGAAATATAAACCTATTTAAATATTTCTCTACTAGATCACTCTAGAAATTTAGCTTAAGATAAATATTCAAGGTTTTGATAGTGTTCTTAAGAGATTCTGTTCGGTGGATCAACCGTTAAAGAACGTATGCATGCTTTCATTCATTTTTTGAAAAAAAAAAGTTCAGTAAAATACAAAAACTTTAGAAAGGTTGTAGAGGTTATGCTATTGACTGATAATGGACAGTTATAAGTAGAGCTCGCCCTGAAGAAATCCATTATATATTCTAATATATATATACAATATATATTTTTTTTTTATATGAATCTCTCTTTTCGAGCAAAAATCGAAAAACAAAGACATCCGATTAAGCGAGGTAGAATGTACGAGCGAATCTTACTAGACTATATATTTCCAACCGAGGAGAAAGCGAAGAGTCCTACCGTTGGAGGGAGTTTCGTAAGCAAATAAAATTTTAAATACTACACACGTCTAATGTAAAATACTCGACAGATTTTGGAGATGAAAGGTATAGAAGTCTCGGTTCTGCCTGGAAATGTTATCGAACGTGTTTTCATAAGAAGCTTTTGTGATTTCAAAATAACTCTTATCAGGCTTGAATTTTGACGACTTAAAGCGAAAAAAATTGTGGAAACAAGAATTTCTAGATAACATGCAAAAACAATTAAGATATAGTGAATTGCTTGGCAAGCAAATGGATGAAGAAGTGGCTCAATAATGAATGCTATACCACCACATGACCAATAGATCATCACAAAAAAAGCTAAATCATTAGAGCGGCAACAAATCGATCATCTATCGAACTAGATGATAAGGCGTTTTTTTGTCACTGATCAAAATCACTCATTTTCAACCTACAAGTTGTAGAATATAACTAGAAGTCTGAAATTAAATTACACAAAAATTACCAACAGCAAATCAAATACCATATTTCTGCAAGAAAGCGAGCAAGAGCACCTAATGTGACAAGCCACCAAAGTAAATAAATAACTACAGTACAATAATGCTAAATAATCCTAAAATAAAAGAAATTTATATTATAACAAAAAGAATAATTCTACATTCTACGACAGCTTTTGGCATGAGTGTTTGAAATGTTTGATCGCCACAAACCAATACTTAAAATCGTTTCTTTTCGTGCGGTTCTCATATCTCTATTTTGTTTAACATTTCGGATATGAGGCTATTGAACTCGTTCGTTAGTGCCGTTTCAGACAGGGACGCAAAAGAGTCTCATACCAGTTTATTGTGGGCGAGGGGACGACGAGGAAAGACGAAGGGACCGTGCCACTCGTGTTCGGGTGGCACGCTTTGTGTTCTTGTTCGTAACAGCTCGCTGCTACCCTTTTCAGCATTCCTTTTCACTTTCAAATCCTTTGAATGGTTGCAAGAGCGCTCGGTTTCAAATGAATTCGATCGCAAATTTGAGTTCTGTTATCTATTTTTGTATGTAATATGCAAATATGTATGCATAGAATAATAGAAATATTATGACAAATTGTAAATAAGGAGAAAATTAAGATATAGATTATGGAGTAAAGAAATTATGAATTTTTAATACGCAGTAAAGAAATTATGAGTTTTTAATACTTAAAGATTAGGAAATTGCTATTATAAATTTGGCCTTGAAAATATTAGTTGCGGATATTCAATACATTCTTGTGGATTAGGGAATTCCCGTCTTTAGTATTTTTTTGAAACTATTTAGCGGGTAGGTACTTGTATTATGCATATTGTTCTACCATATTCATGGTAATTCATTGCAAGCAAAATGTGTGACCATCATCTCAACATACAAATGAAATACGCAGCATGCAGTGTTGCGCGGTGTTGCGCAGTCGAACCGCACAAATATTTACGAACATTTTGTGAAAAGGAATGCAGAAAAACTAGACTCGAGTTGCTGGACCCTTTTTGACCGTGTGAATGCCCAGAGCGACACCAAAAGAAAATTTGAAAAAGATCAGACTCTTTTGCATCCCTGTCTGAAACGGCACTTACGAAGGCTGACTACATTCTTTTTTCTGGTATTTACAGCTATGTTTGTATGTATGGGAAAAAATAATCACAATAAAAATATTAACATTTGGTTTACTTGGTATAAATACATATCGACATAATGAGATAAAAAAATTCAAATTTGCATGGAAATTGATATTGAAAGATAAACAATAACCTAGACTTTTAATTATCTAAGCGGATTTGTGAATACGTGTACGATTCTTTGTTCATAAAATAACGGATGGAAATTTTTTTAGCCATCTGAAAGCTACATATTCGATAAAATATCGAATAAAAAGTTTAAAAGAATTAAATAAGCAATAAATGCATAAGTGAATAAAAGGGTTCAAAATGTTGGATTTTCGTTAACAATTTAATGTTATTAAATTTAATGTTCAATAGATTAGAGTGTTCGTTAACAATTTAATGTTCAATAGAGCGAAGAAATAATTAGCAAATATAAGTATAAGAATAAGAAGAGTAAATATACCGTTGATAAGATATGCTGAAAAGATGAGGAAACATAACTGAATAGCTAAGGGGTTTCCTGGAGTGTTTTGTAGTTAGACTTAACCGAAAAGTCTTTTTTGAGAAAAAATCTGCTGATAACAAAAAAAAAAGGATTATAATTGTTTTTCGATAGAAACCAACAATGATGAATCCCTCAGATAGAGGGCAATTTTGATGTAAAGGCCCAGTTGTATTACAAAGATGGCGCCGGAAAGTTTGAAAATCTACAGACAAAACCCAGAAGCGTGATTTTCTTTATAACGATACGACTCTTATATACACATATATTCGTACACATTACATAAGCCTTACAAACCTTAGGTAAGAATATATAATCATATAAAAAACATATTTCTACTTGAACGAGTGCATGAGTATGTAGTAATGAAGAAATAGCTTAGAGGTAGCGAAATATATTCATACATGCACACATACACTAACAACATACAACCAAATTCGCCGGTTGCTGGAGGCAATAGTAGCTGTTTAAGGTAAAGAAGAATTTGAAAGATAATACGAAAAGCTTCAGAAAATATGAGTGGAATATAAAAACAAAATTAAATAAAAGTTTATTAGTGCAAAAAAAAAAAACAAAGAAACATAAAAGTCTAAAAAAAGTGCAAAGTTGAAAATTGGCCGTTTAAGAAGAAGACAACAAAGACTGAAGTGAATGACAACAAAGAAAGCGCCAAAGTTGGAAAGAAGATAAAAAAAAACTGAACTACAAAAGCATATGCATATGTAAGTAAATACTAATATATATAAGTATGTTTGCATATATGTCTTTATGTAGTTATGTAGGTATGTAAGAAGTGAGTGATAAATGCAAAATGTTCAGAATGCTAATTGAAGATTAAACGTAAAAAGACCAAAGAAACGTTGGAGCGTTCGAGTATATATAGAATATATAGATGCATCATTTACATCATTCGTGTATAAAAAATATTCGAGGAAAAAATACCGGCAAAGTGTGGAGAAAATAAAAGTTTGATTGAAGCATTTAAAAGATCTTGAAAGTCTATTTAAATAGTTGAATCACTGTTGCCAGCGTAAAATCATGATTTACAATTAAGTTATTGATGCTCAACGATAAGTGTTTTCAAGATAACTGGATTTGCAAATGGCAACCAACCCAGATTTATAGCGGGCTAAACATTTTCATCACGGCAGTGATTTTAAAAACTTATTTACAAAAGTTGAACTCTACTACAACAACAATAGGAACATTAGTAAACATTCTTCGCATATAATTCCAAAATTTACAAATTTTAGGAACAGAGAATAATATTGTAATGATGAAAAGAGGAGAATTTTTGCGTGCTGAAGGTAGGCGCCACACATGTGACGAGTGTACTGAATGAGTATATGTATATGTTTTGTAGGTCTATTTATAAGAAACACTTCAAATATATTTTCTGCATAAGTCAGACCTCCTTATTAAACATACCTTAGATGGCCCATCTCCTGCTTTAACCATTCGCAATTTTTTACTTATTATTAAGAATAATAATAAATAGATCCGTTCTAGCATTTCTATGGTATAATGTTTACCATAAGCTATTTCTAGGACAAAATTATATATTTTTTCCAACTCAAGCTTATTTTCATAATTTAATAAAAAAGAAAAATCAGTTATTTCAAAATCACATGATTTTCTTCACTTAAAATTTCTACAATATACTTCTCATTGTTATAAAATTAAGCAAAACTTTGGAAGCATGACTAAATACGAATCACATTATGCGAAATTCGTATATTTTTTATATTTAAAAGAACATATTTGTTCACAGATACAAATGTACAAACATATTTGTAAGCATATCTCTGTCAAAATTGTCAAAGCAGTTTTGGCCAGTCCGATCACTGAACTAATGGAATATGATCAAATAGAGCAGACAGTCAAGTCATGACATGACAGTATGGCAGATATTGTATATTAATATAACATGTATGTATATATGTTACACATATACGGACATATGTATACAATTAAGAGCTATCAACCGATAGACAAATAAAATATAATTTTTAATAATATACATATATATATATAAACTTATGTGTACTTAAATATGTGATATATGCATATATTTGTGGATGAGGAAGCGTGACATTTTATGGTCGCCCGCCATGATGAGACGCCATATTTGATTAAAAAAAAAACTTTAAACATTTATATGAAACGTATGCTTATTTCTGTTTTCGTGACGGCAAATTGGTGCGGCGGGTATTTTTGCACAGACACATAGACACAAAAATACAAACACAAAATAAAATTTTTAGCGCGTGTCAGTGTACCCAACTAAAATAAACGATGAGCGATAAAACAACAGCAAATGTAAATAAATACTTCGGGAATTTTTTTTTTTTTCTAATTAAAAGAAAATAACAAGAACAAAATCGGAGATGACATTAAAAAAAGAACTTGAAAATTAAGCTACCTGCACATAAGCGTATACCTACACAAAAGTCACCTACTTGTATGTATGAAAAATACACACAAAAAGAGCCGAAAAAAAAATATAGTCTTTCATACAAAAATGCTAGAACCCGAAGCTGGTTAAATAAAAAATGTATACATGTACGAAGAAAGAGTATAAAAATAATTAAGCAAAACTAAAAGGCGAACACAAAGTAATCTTAAAAGTTTTGTCAACGTCAACAAAGCTAAGCAGCTGTATTTTCATTTAATGAGCACTAAATGCGCTCATACAAATACTCGAGAGCGAGCGCACAAATATTGTAAACAGAGCGGGAGGGTGCTACACATTTGCATACATTTATTTCGTTCATTTTTTTTTTTTAAATAAAAAAAGGTAATCGAAAAATGTCAACAGAGCGCCAAAGTGAAGCTTTCAGTGCTACCGAAGCATTCCCGCTTTTTAGTTTAGCTGCCAGAGAGTGACTCTTTCACACATATATTACTTGCGCACTCTTTAACGCTCTCTGTTATAGTAAATACTTGCATGTCTACTTTGCTTCCTTTGTTTATCGCGTTTCGCTTTTGCTTATGTAATTCTTCTAACAATAAGTGTATGTATTTGTTGGAGAACAGCACGATGTGTGATGAATTCAGAATTCAAAACAAAATATAAAAAATAAACAGTATTGACCTTGAGTGTGGGTAATAACTGTGCATACGATAAAGAGCGAGCGAAATATTTTAACGAATTGAACAAAAGAAAAGCTTTTTTGACTGACTGAGGATTGACTGACGACTGACTGAATGTTTGTCTGACTGTCTGACTCTCTGTTGGGTGTACATGCGTTAAACTGCTCGTGGAAGTCTGAAGTGATTCGTTGTATGTATGTGGGCGAATGGACGTGTGTGCGATCGTAAGTATTCACCCTCATACAGACACATATTACATAAATTATTTATTTATTAATCACTTATAAGTAAGAACTAATACTCATTTCACGCATACTTTCAATTGAACAAGCTGCTAGAATTGTATAATGAAATTTAATTTTTTTATACTCGTATGTATGTATGTAACACTTTATTACATAATTTACTCCACTATCAGTACAACTACGAATTGTTAAATGTAACGTTGATTTTGTTTTGTTTCACTAAATTTTGTTAATTTATGAAAATTTAACTAAATTAAAATTCAATTAAACTATCAGGCAGTACTCATTTTTCAGCATTAGCAATTTATTCTTTGTGTTTAGTTGTACACAGTTTGTTAATTGATTAAATTAAGGCGCTACAGATTTGCAATTATTATAAAACTTACTACAATAATTGACTCAATTATAAGGTTATGTGCAAAGTAACAACTTATTTAAAAGTAAATTATATTATACCATACATAATTAAACATAATTAAGCTAAATTTAAAACAAAACAGGAAGAAAAAACGTTAACTTCGGTTTCGCCGAAGCTATAATACCCTTCACAAATACA